CCTGGAACCTCCCCCCAAATCCTCCTTGGGACCCCTTAAAACACACATGGGACCCCCAAATCATTCCTGGAACCCTCCAAAACCCCCACCTGAGACACCCAGACCCCCACCAAACCACCTGGGACTCCCCAAATCATCTCAAGAACCCCCAAATCCTACCTGGGATTCTCCAATCCTACTTGGGACCCCTAAATCACCCCAGGAACCCCAAATCCCACCTGGGACCCCCCAAAACTCACCTAGGACTCCCAAATCCCACCCGTGAATCCCCAAAACCTGAAGCCTTCCAAAATCCACCTGAGACCCCTCCCCAAAACCACCTGGGACTCCCTAAATCACCTCAGGAACCCCAAAAGACACCTGGGACCCCCCAAATCCCACCTGGGACCACCAAATTGCCCCAGGAACCCCCAAACCCACCTGGGACCCCCCAAAACTGATCTAGGACTCCCAAATCCCACCTGTGAATCCCCAAAATCTACTTGGAACCCCCTTCATATCCTCCTTGGGACCCCTTAAAACACACCTGGGACCTCCCCAAATCACCCCAGGAACCCCAAAACCCATCTGGGAGCTCCCAAATCCCATCTGGCACCCCCAACTCGCCCCAGGAACCCCAAAACCCACCTGAGAGCTCCCAAATCCTCCCTGGGCACCCTCTTAAATCCCACCTGGGACCCCCTGAAAACTCACTTGGGACTCCCAAATCCCACCTGGGACCCCCAAATCCAAGGCAATTGCCCAAACCCCAGCTGAGACCCCCCCAAACTCCCCCATGACTCCCCCACATCCCATTTTACCCCTTCCTTCCACTGACTTTTGGGACACCTCAGAGACCTTTGTTCTTTCCTAGACACTTTAGGACCTCCTGGGATGGTCTGAGCTTCCCTAGGGGGTTTAGATCCCCCTGAGGGGGCTCACCCATCCCTTCTCTCCCCCTCTTAAATTTTTGGGGTCCCTGCAGGAGTTGGGGAACTCCCTGGACAAGTGTAAGAACAACGAGAACGTGCAGCAGATCCTGACCAACGCCACCATCATGGTGGTCAGCGTCACTGCCTCCACCACTCAGGGGTCAGCCCTGTGGGGACTGTTTTGGGGGTGTTGGATGTGCTCAGGGTGGTCTGTGTGGGGCAGAGCCCAATTTGGGGGGGCTGGAGAGGCAGTTTGGGGGGATGAAGGGAACCCCAAAATGTTGGGGGGCTTGGGGGCCATTTTGGGTGTCTAGACCCCTTGGAGGGCAGTTTGGGGGATGTTATGGGGTCACTTTGGGGGGCATTGGGTGCCCTCAGGGTGGTCTGTGTGGGGCCGACCCCTA